TAATATAAAGGAAGCCAATCTAGTCAATATTAAAAAAAAAATCTCAATTTGAACTTTTTTTTTTTTTTTCTGTTAAGGTTGATCTAATTATCCACCAAATGTGACTACTCCGAGGTATACATTTTGCTGATGGGATTTTATTAGTTAGTAATAAAAACATTACTGTGCAGGACATTTCAGTTATAAGAGGTATTCGTTCATTCACTCCTTTTTTTCGATGGATTAGACAAATTCTTGTTGCAATGGAGCATGCTAGAGGAGGAATGGGTTTTGAAATATTTTCTAACCAAGGAGATAATAACAAAAGAACTGCTGTATTTTTAAATCAGTCTGGGTGTGGCGACTCACACCTGTAATCTCAGCACTTTAGGAGGCTGAGGTAGGAAGATCCCTTGAGTCTAGGAATTCAAGACTAGCCTGGGCAACATAGGAAAACTCTGCTTCTTCAAAACATTAAAAAAATCTAGCTAGGCATGGTGGCTAATTTTTGGTCATTTATGGTCTACAGTTACGCTACTCTGAACTTGCCCAATCTCATCTGATCTTGGAAAACATTTATGTTAAACATATTTTATACAGCTATATTATAATAGGAAGGTTCAGAGGTTTTAAGAGAAGTGAAATGAGATTGTTTTGAAAATGTGAAAGAAATTCTTGTCTTAGATGGGATGGACGGGAGTCTGAAGTCTGGATCTCCTGTTATTGTCATTGGTTGGTTATGGTACCAGATGTCAGAGCTAGTCTTCTGTGCCTTGGATTCTGCCAAACACATAAAATAACTCAGTAAAAGATGAAGACTTTGGACATTTCAAGGAGTTGTACTTGTTTCAGCAATTCATATTTTTAAATTAATGAATATATACACGTGATAAAAATTTTAAAAGAGGACCAGTGGACACAAGGGCATGATTTGTTTCACTATAGATGCGTAGGTGGGTGAGTGGATGGATGGATGGATAGATAGATAGATAGATAGATAGATAGATAGATAGATTAAACTTCTCACCTTTTCTACTTCTGGCCACTTCAGAGTCAGGGTGGAAGTAGGAGTAACAAACAAGTGGGTGTTTAGTATGAGTTTCAGTAGATTCCTTCCTTAGATGACCTTGAGAGAGTTGCATGTAAGTAGGTCATTTCTTTTCTTTCTTTCTTTCTTTTTTTTAAGACAGAGTCTTGCTTTGTCACCCAGTCTGGAGTGCAGTAGTCAATCTTGACTCACTGCAACCTCCACCTCCTGAGTTCAGGCAACTCTCCTACTTCAGCCTCCCAAGTCACTGGGATTACAGGCATCTGGCACCATGGCTGGCTAATTTTTGTGGGTTGTTTTTTTTTTTTTTTTTTGTAGAGACAGGGTTTCACCATGTTGGCCAGGCTGGTCTTGAACTCCTGACCTCAAGTGATCCATTCACCTTGGCCTCCCAAAGTACTGGGCAGGTGTGAGTCACCATGCCCAGCCAGTCATTTCAATACACTGGGACAAGTGCCATGGCAGAGATAGGTTTGGGATGTTCTGCCAGCAGGTGTGGGGATACTCAGTTCATCAGCTCCATGTTGTAATGGAGTATCTAGACAAGAATTTGTCTAATCCATTGAAAAAAGTGAGTGAATGAATGAATACCTCTTGTGCTAACTGAATAACCTGCACAGTAATGTTTTTATTATTAACTCGTAAAGTCCCATCAGCAAAATGTACACCTTGGAGTAATCACATTTGGGAGATAATTAGATCAACCTTAACTAAAAAAGTGTAGATATGTGTGTATCCTAAGGTGTGTGTGTGTTGGGGGAAGGTCACTGAAAACTTCCTGGAAGTGATAGGAACAAGAGGGAGAGAAATACTGGGTAGAAAAGGGTGGGGTTCCTGGCGAGGGCTCCACCCACAAGCCTAGACCCACAGACCAAAGTGAGAACTATTCTTGTTTTCCCACCTGGATGTTGCCTTTTGGCCTACCCCACCCCCTATCCTGTATACATGAGAACTGCAAACCCCAGAATCAGGGCAGGCACATGCACACACACATGTGCGCACGTGCACACACAGAGAGGCGGGGGGGAGAGAGAATGAAGAGAGTAGCATCTGAACATCCAGAGGAGAAGCAGCTGGATGTCAGAGACTATGTTTGGAGAGGAGTTTGGCTAGGATGGCCAGACTTCAGAGGAAGATTATTATCCCACTCTACTCCCTTTCCAGCTCTCTTTCCCTCTGAGAGCCACTTTCACCGCTCAATAAAGTCCTTCACATTAACTACCCTTTGATTTGTCTGTGTGACCTGATTTTTCCTGGATGCCTGACAAGAACTGGGGTACCAAGAAGGCAGAGTGTAAAAACTGTCACCTTTTATACTCCTGTGGGAGTGTAAAAGGGCACAAGTCCTCTGGGGCTCCGGGAATCACAAACACCCCCTCCTGGATGGCAGGGCTAAAAGACCATTATAACACACTTGGACACTGCTGCGGGGCCACACAGACACTGCTCCTGCCAGAGCGGAGCAACTAGCCAGTTCCAGTGTTCCTTTGTGCGGGTTCCCACACTCGTTTGCTTGTGTGCTTGCTCCCTACAGGGACTGAGCCCGGAGGCCTAGTAAATGACCCACCCGCTTCACGAGTCCCATGAAGGGATCAAGGGAACTCTCTCATCTTAGAAGGATGACCAAGCTGTGTTACTAAAATAAAAGGGAATTACTCAGGTAGAAGATGGGGAAGGGTATTTCAGGCCAGAGAGCAAGGCGATAAGAAATGGCATGATGAGTTTGGGGAATTGCAAGTAGTTCCTTGTTGTGTCGGATGTAAAATTCGAGGTAGGGAATAAGATGTATAGAACCTGTTCAGGGAGGGTGTTGGATGTCGTGCTAAGGAGCTGAGACTTCCTTCCTAAGTCAAAATACATGCATGTCTTTTATATATCAATAAAATACTCTAAATATTTATTATTACTTGTTGAAACTGGAAATCATAGTTCTTTCATAGACTGCAACCACAAAATTGAGCCAATTATTACCTTAATTATCAGTTGCTATTGAACCAATCCTTGGTTTCAGTGTCTGATTTCACATGGTCTTCAGAATACCCAGAACCTTAATTATTTCACAGAAGATTAATGGAGCTCACTGCACAGGAGGACAGTATAGTTGACTGAGTGAGTTCAAATCCATCACTACTGTCAGAAGACAACTAAGAATGAGTTGGCCTGCAGCATCTTTGGATATCTAAGATGCCCTATCGCTGTCATTTTATAAGAGGCAGGAACACAGGCCAATTTACAGAAAATATATTTCTTGCATTTGGAGTGAAGAAGAGAAAAAGAGGGAGTAGGAGTATAGTGATTTGATCTTATGAGTAGTAGTTGGTACTTATTTTACTGACTTCTGAGTCTTTTTTCCTCCAATGATTCTATGTTTCCTCAAATGCCAGGCAAGACTGCTATTTATTGAGTATAAGGTTAGTGAAAGGCACTAGAAAGAAATGAATTTAGAAAAGAGAGGCTCAACAGGGAAGAGCCCATTTCTTTACTAAAAAGAAGTAATTCTGTTTTAAGCACATAATAGGGTCTAGTTATAAAAATTGTTGGTGGGAAAGGTACATTTTTTTTTGTAGGAAGGAGGGCCAGTGTTCCCTGTTGGTGTTAACACAACTCATTTATTTATACCCTTTTACTTATTTTTCTCCATACATAAAACTTTTTCCTGGAATCATCCATAGTAGAATTCTAGGAAGATGTGTTAAATATATTGCTATGGTTTACAATTTTCATTTGTAATGTTTTATTTAGTTGATTTTTTTTCACTGCTCCCTGTGCAACACAGAACACCATATGCCATTGTCCCTGTCAGGAAGCAAAGGTTTCCCTGGTCTGCGCCTGTGCCTGTGTTTATGCCACAGAGGAGCTGTGGTCCAGTGCCATCTTTTATTGATAGGACCAGCAAAGGAGAAATCTAATGAAATTATCAAAGCTTTGAATTAATTATGAACTGGAATAGAAGAGCTAAGCTCTCTGGAGCCGAGGATCTCATTACCCATTCACTCTCATTGCATCCTCTTCTGGAGCAGAAGGCATTTTCAGCTACAGCTCTTAGCCTGGGTTTGGACTTTATTCAAACTTACTAAACTGACATCCTTTTTTTACTACAGTGTGGCTGCTGGTGTCCATGATGATTAATTTAATTCTGCTCTGGATATGCAGGAGATGTAACTAGGTTTCCTCTACCCCTTTTATTATTTTTTCTTTCTTATTTTCTTTTTATCAAATTGGATGTTATACAAGTTTTTCTCCTTTTTGGGTAATGTGAGAAGCTTGGAGGACTCTGGTATAGCTTCACTGAATATAGTGTTTAAATTAAAGTTAAGAGTAATATTACATCTACTATGTATTCCTCGGATATTTAGGTAAGCAGAAAGTCAAATATTTCTTCTCTGAATTTTGAACACCAAATTGGAGCTTTTCTTGCTTTTCTTGACCTTAGAATTAATGGTATAGCAATAATTTTCCTGGTCTTAACAGCATTGTTTGTATTTGTAATGCGTGTTTTATGGGAACAGGAGATCTTACTTTGTGATTGTAGTTCATAAGACTTGTGTTCACTGATAGGGAATAATTAATGTTTGTCTTACAATTCTGTTTTTCCTTCTCCCAGTAATATACATTTTTTTAAATGAATAAATCAACCTCTGATTGTTTTAAATTTAGTAGGAAAATCAATAGCAACATGGTCTCAATTTAGTACTGGCAATGATTCTTTTGGTACTGTCTTATAGGTTCAAGACATGACAAGTGTTTTCTGCCTGCTTTTGAGACTCATTATTTATGAATTCCTAAGCTGTAGCTCATCTGTCTTAGTAAACTACAGGCCACTGGCAATTTTTTTAAGCAGTGACTAACTTCGCTTTAAAGAGTCAATGTTTTAAGGTTTTGAATAGTGGGGGAAGGGAGAATGATAATCTTTGACTTTATTATTCCTATTTACTTTCAATGAGTGTTTTCCCCCTATCTATTTTCTTTCTAGGCAGCTGCAATATTTAATTCAGCCTTTGGAAGTTTTTTGGTAAGTAAACATGGTTTAACTTGTCTATTATAACTTTTGCTGTGTTACGGTTTGTATGAAAGATTTGGTGAAAGCTGGATTTCTTTTACTCTTTGGTTAAATATAAAAGGTTTTGAATCTTTTCATGTACCATTATCTAGTATCTTAATAAAATTGGTTAAATAAAGCAAATGTTCTCTTACAATGTATTTTGGAGGCTTGGGTTTTAATATTCCATTTAATGGATTCAAGGAATCAGTTAAAACACTATGTGTCTCCTTATAGAGGTTATGTCAATATATTGATCATTTAATGAGGTCTTTTAGATTATTATTATTTTGTATCATGGGACTGAGGATTTTGAAAAGGAAACATGACCCAGCTGGTCAGAAAGGGAATGCTAATTTACTTGTTGACATGCCATTTATTTTGTACATGTCAAAGAAGCTACTGGCTTGGATACTTCTGAGGAATCTATGTGGAAAAAGATTTGAAAGGAAGATATGACTAATGAGTAATTTTCAAGTAAATGTTGTATTAATATGTATAAAAAGATTTAAAAGTAATTCAGCTTTCATAAATAGAACCAATATAAGGATGTTGTTTTAGCATTTTAATATTATTTTTAAATAAATGATGTAATAGAGATTTGATTTGTGTTATGAAAGATTGAGAAACTAAGTTTTCTCTTAATTTAAAATATTTTGTGCCCTAAAACTGTGTTAAATTCATGAAGTAAACTAGAATATTGTGTTTTGGGGGGCATAACTCATTAGCAGATATGTAATGCAGTGACTTACAAATAATTGAGAGTAAAATCAGTGATGTATAAACTAATTCATGAGTCTAGGTAAAATATCAATTACCTCTGTTTAAAATGCTCTGTTAATTATTATTATATGTATTTAAATGTAGTTAAAGCTTTTAAACATTGCTACATAGTGTTAACTCTACATAGTGAGTGCTACATAGCTTTTAGTGTCACATAGCCCTAGAGAGCTTTTAATGATGAAGCATGAGCAAAATATATGCATAGTCTATATCCTATTTTTATAGAGCCAGTAATGTTTTTCATGATGCCATATTATTTCTGGGTTTTAGAGGAGAGACAATAAAGTCTGTTTAACAAAAATGATCTCTTGGATTGCTTAGTTTAGACTCAGTAATATTTTAAGTCAATTCATGTGTTCAAGTATTATTCTATAAGTTGTCACAATTGTTTAATAAAATAATATCTGTAAAATATGAACTTTCTTGAAGCCAATTTTTGTACATGATTTGGCACCATACACATCCACTACTAAAACATAGCTTCTTAAGTTTAGTTTCTTATTCTTTCAGGTGTCTAGACCTTGAGAAAATAAAGTTGACACAATTGTCTGAGCGACTAAAACAAAATACGCTATTCCTTTTTTGGAGAACAAGCTTACTGAGTATAGTTTGACACATGCACTGACTATATGGACATATCCTATTTGTTCTACCAGGCCCACTTGTTTGGTAATGTCTAGTGAAGTACAACTTGTTCTTGTGGTTCTTGGGGATTTGTATTATGCTCTTTCACTCCTAAGAAGCTGTGTATTCTCACTTCTTAGTCTGTTGCTCTTTTTCTTTTCTTCACTTGTTTTCTTATCCTAATTCAGTTAATCAATCAAAACTGTTTATTGATTTCCTGGTACACAGAGGTAGTTTTCTAGTATCTGTGAAGAATGCAAAGAAATACAAGGTGGGTCCCACTAGGTTCTGGAGGTGACATGTAGAAAAAGAAATGCGGCCGGGTGCGGTGGCTCACGCCTGTAATCCCAGCACTTTGGGAGGCCAAGGCGGGTGGATCACGAGGTCAAGAGATTGAGACCATCCTGGTCAACATGGTGAAACCCCGTCTCTACTAAAAATACAAAAAAATTAGCTGGGCATGGTGGCACGTGACTGTAATCCCAGCTACTCAGGAGGCTGAGGCAGGAGAATTGCCTGAACCCAGGAGGCAGAGGTTGCGGTGAGCCGAGATCGTGCCATTGCACTCCAAGCCTGGGTAACAAGAGTGAAACTCTGTCTCAAAAAAAAAAAAAAAAGAAAAGAAAAAAAGAAAAAGAAATGCAATGTAAACGTTAACCAGCCATATGAAAGATGTTACTAGAGATACATGATTGTCAAATAAATGGCACAGACAATATGCATTCTGAATTCAAAGGTCTGACAGAGTGATTGCTCTGAGCTAGGTCTTGAAGTATGGGTAGGACTTAACTGGTAAAGGACAGAGGAGAGGAAATGGCATGAGCAATGGCAGAGAGGCAGAAGTGTGGTTCTACTTTTTTTTCTTTTAATTATACTTTAAGTTCTGGGATACGTGTGCAGGTTTGTTATATAGGTATACAAGTGCCATCATGGTTTGCTGCACCAATCAATCCGTCATCTACATTAGGTATTTCTGCTAATGCTATCCTTCCTGAGTCCCCCACTACCCGAAAGGCCCAGTGTGTGATGTTCCCCTCCTTGTGTCCATGTGTTCTCATTATTCAACTCCCACTTATAAATGAGAGCATGTAGTGTTTGGTTTTCTGTTTCTATGTTAGTTTTCTAAGAATGATGGGTTCCAGCTTCATCCACATCCCTGCAAATGATGTGAACTCATCCTTTTTTATGGCTGCATAATATTCCATAGTATATATGTGCCACATTTTCTTTATCCAGTCTATCATTGATGGGCATTTGGGTTGGTTCCAAGTCTTTCCTATTGTGAACAGTGCACAATAAACACATGTGTGCATGTGTCTTTATAGTAGAATGATTTATAAACATTTGGGTGTACATCCAGTAATGGGATTGCCGAGTCAAATGGTATTTCTAGTTCTAGATCCTTAAGGAATTGCCATACTGTCTTCCACAATGGTTGAACTAATTTACATTCCCACCAGTGTAAAAGTGTTTCTATTTCTCCACATCCTCACCAGCATCTGTTTCCTGACTTTTTTTTTTTTTTTTTTTTGAGATAGGGTTTTGCTCTTGTTGCCCACGCTAGAGTGCAGTATTATGATCTCAGGTCACTGCAACCTCCACCTCCTGGGTTCAAGTGATTCTTCTGCCTCAGCCTCCTGAGTATCTGGGATTACAGGCATGTACTACCATTATCAGCTAATTTTTTAAATATTTTTAGTAAAGATGGGGTTTCATCATTTTGGCCAGGTTGGTCTCGACCTCCTGACCTCAAGTGATCCACTGCTTTGGCTTCCCAAAGTGCAAGGATTACAGGTGTGAGTCACCATGCCCGACCTACTTCCTTAATGATCACCATTCTAACTGGTGTGAGATGGCATCTCATTGTGGTTTTGATCTGCATTTCTCTCATGACAGTAATGATGAACTTTTTCTCATGTGTTTGTTGGCCATATAAATGTCTTCTTTTGAGAAGTGTCTGTTCATATCCTTTGCCCACTTTTTGGTGGGATTTTTTTTTTTTCTTTTAAATTTGTTTAAGGTCCTTGTAGATTCTAGATATTAGCCCTTTGTCAGATGTATGACTGCAAACATTTTCTCCCATTCTGTAGGTTGCCTGTTCACTCTGATGAGAATTTCTTTTGCTGTGCAGAAGCTCTTCAGTTTAATAGATTTCATTTGTCAATTTTGGCTTTTGTTGCCATTCCTTTTGGTGTTTTAGTCATGAATTCTTTGCCCATGCCTATGTCCTGAATGATATTCCCTAGGTTTTCTTCTAGGGTTTTTATGGCTTTAGGTCTTAGGTTTAAATCTTTAATTCATCTTGAGTTAATTTTTGTGTAAGGTGTAAGGAAGTGATCCAGTTTCAGCTTTCTGCATATGGCTAGCCAGTTTTCCGAAACACATTAAATAGGGAATCCTTTCCCCATTGCTTGTTCGTGTCAGATTTGTCAAAGATCAGATGGTTGTAGATGTGTGGCGTTATTTCTGAGGTCTTTGTTCTTTTCCATTGGTCTACATATCTGTTTTGGTACCAGAAGCATGCTGTTTTTTGGTCATTGTAGTCTTGCAATAGTTTGAAGTCAAGTAGCATGATTCCTCCAGCTTTGTTCTTTTTGCTTAGGATTATCTTGGCTATACGTGCTCTTTTGGTTTCATATGAAATTTAAAGTAGTTTTTTTAAATTCTGTGAAGAAAGTCAATGTCAGCTCAATGGGAATAGCATTGAATCTATAAATTACTTTAAGCAGTATGGCCATTTTCATGATATTGATTCTTCCTATCCAAAGGCATGGAATATTCTTCCATTTGTTTGTGTCCTCTCTTATTTCCTTAAGTAGTGGTTTGTAATTCTCCTTGAAGAGGTCCTTCACATTCCTTGTAACTTGTATTCCTAGGTATTTTATTCTATTTTTAGCAATTGTGAATGGGGATTCACTTGTTATTTGGCTGTCTGTTTGTGTATTATTGGTATATAGGAATGCTTGTGATTTTTGCACATTGATTTTGTGATTATCTCAATAGATGCAGAAAAGGCCTTCAATAAAATTCAACACCCCTTCATGCTAAAAACTCTCAATAAACTAGGTATTAATGGAACATATCTCAAAATCATAAGAACTATTTATGACAAACTCACAGGCAGTATCATACTGAATAGGCAAAAGCTAGAAGCATTTCCTTTGAAAACCAGGGCGAGACAAGGATGCCCTCTATAACCACTCCTAATCAATATAATATTGAAAATTCTGGCTAGGGCAGTGAGGCAAGCAAAGGAAATAAAGAATATTTAAATAGGAAAAGAAGAAGTCAAATTGTCTCTGTTTGCAGATGACATGATTGTATATTCAGAAAACCCCATTGTCTCAGCCCAAAATCCCCTTAAGCTGATAAGCAACTTCAGCAAAGTTTCAGGATACAAAATCAATGGGTTTTACATTTTTTATTCCTTTTCTTTTCTCTGCTTTTTCTTTCATAAAGTTGAAAATTACCAGAGAGTGTTTGAGAATGAAAATTATGATTAGGTATGTTTTGCTGCTCTAGTGTTAGAAGAGAAAGAATTCTATATCTTTTTTTCCTTTCTTCAC